CAGGAGCGAGCCTTGTGATATCCTCTTCATCTCGTCTCAGTGCTAATGTGAGACATCCTTTTTGTGTTGTTTACATCCACAGGATTGGTTCCACGCTGCACACCAATAAAATACTACTACTCATCATCAGAGCTCCCCAGAAATCTGCCAATCAATCTGACGAAGACAATAAGGCAGGATGAGTGGCACGCGCTTCGTGAGTTACCTTTTTTTAATCTGATGAATTAATGTAGAAAAACTGAGCACGCCCCCTGACATACACGGTGTTTTCTGCTGTGCCTTTTTTTTTTGCAGATCTCCAGAGGATGACTGCCAGTTTCATAGGAATGGCCATTTCCATCATCATGTTCGGCTGGATCATAGGCGCTCTGGGCTGCTGTCAAGACCACGATCTGATGCAGTATGTCGCCGGACTTCTCTTCCTCATGGGAGGTAAGAAGTTCTTTACATAAATAGCACTGCCCCGACTCACCGCAGAGGGGCGGTGTGGTCTTTATTAACCGTGGCGCATCAAAACGGGGGGATCAAATCGGGTTGCTGACTTGTTTCATCCTCGCTCTCTGGCAGGGACGTGCTGCATAATCTCCCTTTGCACGTGTGTGGCCGGAATCAACTTTGAACTGTCCCGCTATCCGCGCTACATGTTTGGCATACCAGAGGACATCAGTCATGGTTACGGCTGGTCCATGTTTTGTGCGTGGGGTGGACTGGGCCTCACGTTGCTGGCTGGCTTCCTGTGCACACTCGCTCCCTCCCTCTACCCCCCACAGGCCAGTGCGGTGCACAAGCCCAGACAGGAGAACGGCTGTGTGTGACAGGCCGCGGGCATACCAAACAGACACCTGTCTCATCTGTGAAACAGTGACGAGCCCTGTTCCAGAGACAGCTTCACCCAGGGACTCAGAGAGAAGAGAAAGCCTTCACTTAGCCAGGCACAGAGAAAGCATGGGACACTTGCTCGCACTCACATGGGAAATGATAAAGAGGTGACATTTGACTGAAGACGGTTTCAGTTCCTCTGGTGCTTTTTGATTTTTTTCTTCTGTCCCTCTTTATGAATAAACTGTTGAGTGTCATTGCTTGCTCTTCAAGAGGAGAATATAACAATTTCTTCTTGTAAAATCTGCTAGTTTGAGAAGAAAAACAGAATAAAAAAGAGAAAAAGATGCACTGGCAGGAGGTCAATAGCACAACTTTCAAATGGGAACTGAAGATCAAACCATGGACTTGTAATTCACATTTCAAAGGGCAACTGTGTATCATTATGTACCCATTCAAAACAAGATATGTACATGTACTTTATGAATTGTATGTATGCAGATGCATTTGTGTTTATTCAAGGAAAAAAAAAAAGAGCATTAGACCAAACTGTGTTTGAGGGAAGTGTTTTGTTGTTCTTGAGGTCTTACCCCTGTCGGAATATTTTTGAAAAATAAAAGAGCCATGCAAAAGTATTTTTTTCCCTCCCCCCTCATGTAATGCACTGAACAGACATCATATAAAAAGAAACAAAAGCAAAAAAAACCTTTGTGGTTGTCTTATGTCTTAACATGTGTTCACTGTTATGCCAGCAGGCAGAAGAGGCCTGCTAACCGAGTCAAGGCGTTTACAGCATTGTTTTAAAACTGCAGCTGAATTTATTTCTCTTGGTGTTACGAGGAGCTGCTTGCAGGCCACCGTTTTATGCAACCACTTCTAAATGCTTAAATGTGCAAATGTCAGTGGCCAAAATGTGCGTCAGTGACCAAAACTGAGTGACAAAACTGACAGAAATAAATCAGTCCAAATTTAATAGAACATGAAAGTGAAGTAATTTTTTTTCCGCCTGCACGCTTCAGTGGAAATTCAATCTATGTTTATAAACAGCAGGGCCACATAAAATGAGGAATGTCCGGATATCTTCATCCAAAGCTCTCGGATCACAACATGCTGACAATTCACAGATTAACACACTGATGTTGCTGATAATTTTTCAAGGTTTTTTTTTTTTCATGCGTACTAGTTTTAAGAAAAAAATTAATCGTTCTGACAGCTAATTCAAATATTGGCTTCACTCATTTCCTGAACTTTTGCTGCTCATCGGTGCTATTCTGTTGCTCAGATTGTGGCAATCTTCATCTGCAGTCTTCAAATAAATCCCTGTTGTTGATTAGGCACAGTGTTTGTTTACTTAAGTCACTGGAGATTTAAGTAAATAGACACTCTCCATCATAAATGAACAAAATATATTCAGTGATAAAATCATTTGCCAGAGGATGCACAGACTCTCTTAGTGGACCGTTAATTCATTGCAAAGAGCTCCTTTTTATTCCGTTAACAGCCCCTGGAAACATGAAAACATTTTTCATGTAAATAAACAGTAGTCCTCTGTTGTAAATGTATCTAACTGTTCAAACGAATTGTGAAGACTGGTTTGTTTTGCAGTGTTACAGTGTCTGGTATCAATGATACAAAGGACTGTGTGGTTAATGAGGAGGAATCATACATGTCCTACATGTGCCCACATCATTAAAAAGTCATCCGGTGCTGTAGGTGGTCTAATTATGCTACATACCCATGGCTTGTTGGCCAAAGTGCATTCAATTGCTTGAACTTTAAGTATGCTTTGCATTAAAAACCCCAACCCCAACAGTGACTAATACCATGTCAGATAAGTGGAGTAAAAAGCGTGTATGCTTTTCTCTATATAAGGTCAAATGGGACTCTGTGGAGTCTTGTGAAAAGAAAAGCTAAATGCAGTCCATGATTCAGTAGCTTGTAGCCAACTTTTCTTTACAGCGTGGCTTCAGTTCACTGAGGGACTCATTTATGCACAGCTCTCTTAAGGTCCTATCACAGCATTTCAAACAGGTTGAGGTCTGGACTTTGGGCCATTGCAACATCTTTGTTCAGCCATTCTGTTGAAGATTTGCTGCTGCGTTTGGGATCATCGACCTGTTACATAATGCAGTTTTACACCAAGCTTTAACTGTCAGACAGATGGCTTCACATTTGACTATACAGAAGAGTTCATTGTCGACTCATGACTGCAAAACAAGCCTAAATCATCACTTTTCCACCACCGTGCTTGACAGTTAGTATTAAGTGTTCGCTCCAGGATGAGTGCTGTGTATTATGGCCAAGCATTTCCACTTTGGTCCTGTCTGTCCAAAGGAAATTGTTCCAGAAGCCTTTTGTTTTGTTCAGATGCAGTTTTGCAATCCAAAGCTGTGCCGTCATGTTTTTTTCAGAGAGAAGAGGCTTTCTCCTGGCAACCATTCCAAACAAACCACATTTGTTTTCCTGATTGTGATATTCATGAACTTTTGCATTTAACATGCTAACTGAGGCCTGCAGAGTCTGAGATGTACCTCTTGTTTTGTTTTTGGCAGTTTCTCCGATCATTGCACAGTCTGAGCTTGAAGTGTCTTGAAAGCTTTCCACGTGTGAATAATCTTCCTCACTGCACAATGATGAACTTCAAATTGTTTGGAAATGGCCTCATAACTCATCTCAAATTGATGGGCAGGAACAGTTCTTGGTATTCCATTAACACCCACCTGAATGCTGCAGACATCGAACTGCCAAAACATCTGGTTTTACAAGGGTGCTCACACATACAGATGATTAATTAATCAAGTGTAATCAAGTAATTAGTAGCACCTCACTGTGCCTTACTCTTTGAATTTCAGTGGAAGCAGTAAGAGTGTACTTAGTTTTCCATATGCTGAAAGTAGCAAGGACTATTTACTAAAGTACAGTTTGAAGGCCATTGTACTTAAATGTTGGTATTTTATTCTGGTTTATACTAAAATATATTTTTGAAAAAAATATTGTACTTTCCATTTCTCATCAATTAAGTAATGACTTTACAAATATAAAAACATAAGACAGACTGATATACATAAATAGTTATAGTTGATCACCAGCTACTATAGAGTAAGGAATCAACTTTTCCACTTACAGCAAAGTAATGCTTTTTCATTGCAATTAAGCAGTGAAAGAGGTCATCCGTCCCTTCCGAATGGGCTATTCTGCATTTTGTTTTCTTTAACAATACTTCCTATACTAAAGTTAATTTTAAATGTAGGATTTTTGCTTACATCTCTGCATACCACACTGGTATAAGTGTTTATTTTTTTTACTGAAGTTAAAGCTCTCACTTCTTTTCGTCTTTGACTTAGTTATGTTGTCTTGTTACATCAGCAACATTTGTTAAGGATGTAAATTAATTCTGCTCCTGAGTATGTGAAAGGGGGGGGGGGGTTGGCCTTCAACACAGCAATCTGAAAAAAAGTCTTATCTCAAGGTTCACTTTCCTGCTCTTTCAAGAGCTTTCATGGTCTTTAGCAGAAGGCAGACTTTGCTCAGTGGGAAATTTCTCTGTTGTCATGGAGCTGGTCCACTGAGATGTGTTAAAAAACTTGAGATGTTAAACAGTATCTCTATTTTTATTGAACAAGAGCTCCTTAAAAGAGCGTCAGATGCAGTTGAATCATATTAAAACTATCAGTCGTTTCATTGCAGTAATAATTACGGTAAGACTAGTAGCAGATGGAGCACTTAACAAATCTCTCCTTTCTAACAATAGCACCCCAGAGGCCTGTCATTTTCGGGTCAGAGTAGTTTCAGGTCGACTCTGGTCTGCATTCTTGACCTTTCTTTCTTTTTCTTAAGGAGAATAAATTCTTCAACAGCATGCTTAACGCTCGGGCAGTCGTGCCTCTAAGCAGCGTGGATCTGAATCTAATCTTGCGGGAAAAAAATATTTTCCTATAGGTGGATTTATATCAGAGCCAAAAAAGACAAATTAACTATGATGGGCAGGTTGCTTATGAGAGGTTTTGCGAATAGCTCCACTTTTACTAACACAGTGGAAATTTTGTCCAAATATTTTAATCAAATCTTGGAGCCCTGTGCTGTGCCCCTGGAAATTAAGAGCTGTATAGACATATAGGGTTTCTCAGGAGCTCCTGCAGCTCTGGGTTTTTGCTGTGCTGGTCTGCACTGTGCTAAGAAAGAAAGAGCTGTTTTTTTAAAAAGGGGTCCCTCAGGGGAAGCTGGACTGTGAGGAAAACCAGACAGAGGAAATCACACCCAGTTGCGCCCATTGCAGCCCATCTGGCTCACTCACATCTGCATAGACATTATCTCTGTTAACAAAAAAAGTAAGAAAGAAAAAAAGTGGGCATGCTTGTAGCTGTTACTTTGTGGTTGTTGCAGACGTTGGCTGGAATAAGAACATTTTACGGTAGTCAGAGAAAGAAAATACAGAGATTACCACCAAAGGCATTTGTGATATTAAATCCAAGGCACTTCAAATGAAGACTGCCTAACAGATGTGTTTATGTGTGACCCTGTTAGCCAGGGTTAATGCTTATTTTGGAAATTCAAAACAATTTCCCATCCATAAACAGTGTCTCTGAAATAAACTCAAGAGCAAAACAGGGCTTTTTTTATAGGCATATAAACAACTTGCCAGTTAAAAGCCTATTTTTAGTAAAAATGACATAATCCAAAACAGCTCAGAGTTTAAACACAGTAACATCTCATGTCAACCTCGAACTGCGTGGATTATGACAGACAAAAGACTAGATAATGATGACAGTGACGGCCTTTGAAGAAGCATATTTCATACTCGAGCAGATTACTTCCAGATGGAAGTGGGAGGCAGTGACAGACTTCAGACGCCAATTAACCACGGCCACTTGAAGGGACAGTCGAGCCTGCCATTTGTAGTGCCAACAGCAAACACGGTGATGTCAAGACATGAGGGAGGAGGAGGGTCACATGAAAGTGATGAAAGTGAAAAAAAAAATTACAATTTCAAAGATTTCGAGTTCTTATTGCACATCGCAAATTTTAAAGGATGGGAGACGTCTCACATTGAAAAAGAAAATACCTGAAAGTCCTGATGTGGTGAGAAGAATGAAGAACATTTTGTCTTGCTTGAAAGAAAGGGAGAAATATCAGATATTTAATATTTATTTGATCAGTTATGACAACCTAACAGCGTGAACAGCATAGTTAAAATCATACAGAGTTACATATTTTACTGACAATAAATCCATGTTGGGGGAGGGGGGGGGGGGTTGTTTTCACACTCTCTCTTCTGGATAAGATTTCTCCTCTGGGGTGGCACTGAGGGTTCCTTGCAGACATAACTTATGTCCACATTTCTTTGTTCCCTCCTGATTCAGAGGAATGTGCTAATATTTCTGTTAGAGCTCCTTCAGTGACACAGCTCCAAGGAATGGGAACAACCAAAGGTCAGAGAAGTTCAAATGCTTAAGAAGGATATTCATAAGCCACAATAAACTTTCCAGTTGGTTAATGAACTGGAGCGTCCTCGCTCTTTCTTTTTCCTCAGTCTCTCGCTCTCTCTTTCATACACACATACACAAACACACACTTAAAGCTCCCACAGCCCCACTAAGAACCAGCATTAAGATACTCAGTCTTTAGGCGGCTC